GCCACGGTATTCCCCAAGGTGGCGATAATTGTCTAAAATGCAGCCCGTGGGTACGGAATACGGGCAAAATATATCTAGTGCTTAGGAAGTCACAAAAATGTTCTAATGCATCTGATTGTTGCAAAGTGCTACATATTATTTCATGATTTCCTCACTTGAATTTCATCCAAGTCTTCTTTTCCTGATAAAAGTAGGCAAGTTTGGATCTCATACGGCTCGAAACGTCGATATATGCTCTTGGGCTCCCTGTGTGTGACCATGGCGAGTGTTTGAAGAAACCCCACAGATTTAGAAACCACATGATTGTTTGAGCGTGGTCAATGTTTAATAACAACTCAATTTTTGTACTGTCTTACCCACCAGATGACGAGTTAGTCAACGATGATGACGAACATGAATTGTGATGCTTGATACTACGCGATTTCTTTGGGACACATTGACTCATGGTCGTGTTCACATTGTTTTGAAAGATGCCAAATTGTGAATTGAAAACTTGATCTTGTTTGATATCATTTTTACCCAAAAACCCGGGAATAAGGTATAATTGCTTCTCAACTGGATATATGTCATATAATAGAGTCAATTTCGTATGAGTGGGAAACGGACGGTACTGTACTGTAACCGTAATCGTACTGTAACCAAATTCTAGTGTCTCATTGCTGTTTTGTCATCGTCTGGAGCCCAACCTTTGCTCATTTGACAACTAAGCAGGTCCACAGGTAGGGTTTTTTTTGACTGGATTTGGTTAAATTTTTCATCCAGACGTTGAGGCTTTCAACAGGGAAAGGAAAACCAAAGTCAAATCCCCACCCCTTACCCAGCCTCCCCCACGGGGGGGGGGGGGGGGGGGGGGGTTGCATTAAGATATTCATTGGTATCGCGCGCATAGATAACATGCTCTGCCTGCTGCACGGGCGAAACAACTACATAATAGCTATAAAACTCTGCCAAGTCAAGAGGATTTCTTCCCATTCTACAAACAAGATTAGATGAGAGCTGGAGTGGATTAATGCATGCACTCTAAAACGACGTCGTGTTTTCTGTTTTGCATGTGTTTCTTCTAACTCCCTGTAAACGCTAGACAGTGACTTTCATTTCCTCTTCGCAGTACTTTATAGTATATTCACCACTAATTCTTTTTCATTGATCGAGAGGAGTACAATTACAGTCTTAACTCCGGAGTAAACTATTTGGGATGTTCGCGATTGTCGGATCTCTTAGCGGTAAAAATTTGTGTTTGTAAATCTTTTAGGTTCTCAATTTAGAGTTTCCTGCGATCTCTTAGGGTGGTAATGAATTCCCTCTGTGTTTTGTTTTGTCATTAAATGTTTTATAGATTTTATCATTGGAAGTGATTTAATTTAACAATATTTGTTGCGCAATCTCTTAGGGGTTAAAGGTCAGTCTACCAAGTCCTTTTTTCAAGACTTCCAGGATCATTTAGGACGCTTTTTAAAAATTTCTGACGATCATCTCAGGTACTTTTACCCCGGAGTGATTTATGCAGCCTGATAATTCAGTCTTTTCTAATAATCCTTCGAAAATAGAACCCTGATGTCTATTAATTGGATATCAAAGATTGGATCCCTGGCCACTGGTAAGTTAGAGGAAATGACAGATGTTTGGTCTTGTTTCAAGCTGCCCTCTCACTCACCTGCCATTTTAGTTCATAATTAATGATGACACGTTGCCTCCCTCTATCATAGCGCCGCTTTTCTCACGATATCTCACAATCTGAGTAAAATGACAGGTTGAATCCCTTCGGCTTTTCACTTTTGTTTTGAGTAGTTTGACTCATGTTCTGGCTTCCTTTGAGCTTTTAGAACTTCAAAAAAAAGAACTTCATTGAGTTTTTCTTCCAATATAATCCTTTTTGGGCTATCTTTAAATTGTGGTGAATACTTATCGAGCATTTCTAACTAGCTGGATTGATGCCGCTGGTATTGAATACAACTGTACGGTCAACTCGGAAAAGAGCGGGAAAGTCCAGTGCTAAGACGCGAGCGCGGGCAAAAAAGGCGCGAGTAGTTGAAATTGAGCCATCTTTCTTTCAGATGGTTAAAAAATGGATTTTGTTTGAATTTTTTTATTGCAAAGAAAGTCTCAAATCTGATAAACAAAGTTGTCTTGATTCCCTCGAACCAACTTACTGCGCGACCATCAAATTAGCAATTTCCAGTCCGGATACGGAAAAAGATGGAACCGCGCGCGTACTATCTAAGTCATATAATAAATATGAGTAGTGCAATTCTATTGGCAAAAAGATAAAACTAATGTCGGCCTACAATATAGCTAGCCCGACTAATTAATCAATCATCATTTCAGTCTAAACATTAAAAAAAGACGGGGACCCAATTCTTGGAATGTGAAATTATGCGGCTTATTATTTGCCGTTAAATTCAAGTAAATGGTCGATATCGTCAAAACATCTGAATGCAGTACGAAACTATATTGAATTTGCAAAATACGCTGCAAATTTATTCATTGGCTCAGTCACTTGACATTGTGCTGTCAATCATTCAATAATGTTGAAATTAAATGAATCAAGAAATAAACGAGACATAAAATCCGTGACCTTTTCACAATGGCCTGAAGTATTTTGAAACTATGAAAGCCAGAGCCATCAACACGGTTTTAAGGAAAAAACCTTAGGATTGGGTACTGCATGAGCTGGAGGAGTGCAAAAGTATCGGACAGCGATCGGTGAATAAAGTCGAAATAGCTTGACAGCTAAGTGGTTTCATTTGAATTAAAAACGAAAGCATTCTTGATTTGACGATTTGAAGAATTGCACGAAAAATTCAGTCCATCGATCCCTCCATCATTTTATACTTTTTCGTATAGTGAGAGCTGAATTAAGTTATTATATCCTTTGGTGCATTAGATAACCTCCCCTTTACATTGACAGATCATTGTGTGAACTTGCCGGCTCACGATTTTCTCAATCATGAGTATATATCAAATGGTAATATTCATAAGGTCATGTCACCTACTGGTACTTGATTAAGGCCAAGACGATTAGCTGTGACTGAATATTAAAGAAGACCTTGTACACGTGACTCTAGAAATCTGCATGTATGCTGAAGAAAACCCGCATCCGAGTTATATTAGAAAAACGGCAATGGCACAACGAAAACGTTCATATGACATGCAAAAGAAAACCCGTGTTGTGTGAACAAGAAACATGAAGAAACACCTGTTCGCAAAGAATGTAACAGTCTCGGCGACTAACAAAAAACAAACAAACAAAAAACCCTCGGAAGAAAAACGTATGTCCATCACTAAATAAGGGCAGAACATACAAAAAACACGTATAGGAAACTAGAGATCTCCCTGTCGTAGCTTATATAGTTCTGTATTAAGGAATTATAGAAACGATTGTCTGTTAATCTGTCTGATGTCATTAAATCCTTATTGTTATTGTTAATCTTAATCGAACGTAGATGCTTCACCTTCAACCACAGGTGTGCAGGTTTTGGAATTATCGAAAAGGATTATGGGTGCAAAATTTAAGCTTGCGACAAATCATTTGATAAAGCAGGGAGCCCAATTCTTGCAATATATGGAAACTTGTAAATAAGTTTAGAGTAAATGATTTATATTGTCAGAAAATCTGAATGCAACACGAAACTAGATTGAATTTACAGATGATAACATTACTCTACATATTTATTCATCTGCTCAGTAATGTGACATTGTGCTGTCAATCATTCACAGTTATACCCAAAAATAACTGAAGTGATAGCATTATAAAAAGTAGAATCCATAACATTATTACATTGCTGCAGCATTTTGGAATGAAGGCTAGAATCACCGACTGTTTCGAGATCATTAAAATTCATATTGGGTACCGAGTACGAGGAGTGAAAGTGTCGGACTTGAGTGAGTAAAGTCGAAAGAGCTTGACGGCTCATCATCATCGTCTTCCAGGACTGGTCTTCTAATTAGAAAGTTGACGTTCTACCACAGTGAAATCATTAAAATAAAATGTGAAACGAAAGCACTCATGATTTGAGAAATTGCAGATTTACGCGAAAATTTTAGTTCAGCCTAGCAGTATAATTCATTTACTTTTCTATTCGCGACGATTTTCCTATTCGTTTTCATATGACGTCAACAAAAGAGTGATAAATGAAATTTAGATCGAAGAGCTAGAAACATTAGTAATATATATGACAGATAACTATTATGGAAAGACATTACCATAAAGTTCATAAAGTTTTTTTAGTTCTCGAAATATTTAGGCTTGAATTGTATCATTCGCCATGCTAGAGGACATGGTTGCCGCATACATTCTTTACGAAATATTATGCATATTCAATCGCAAATGATTCGGCAGTAACTAGACGCTGTACGAACTCTAAACGTTTTGAATTTTTGAGTTTTGAATGCTCTAAATGAATATGAATATTTTATTTCAGTACGTTTTTGCCAAATAAAGCTTTTGAAATAGTCGAGACGAGGTCATTCTGCCTGGCTCACGATTTTTCGAATCAGTATGTAATTAARCAATAAACGATAGCTTGAAGCTGTTACGGGCGAAGTAAACCGCGCGGGATGGTTGGGAGAACACGAGAAAAGATCTGTAAATCACGAGACGTCAGGCCGGTAAACCGCTTGAARCTATCGTTTATTGCCTTTATATTATAGGATCTTATAGCCGGCGTCCGCCATATTTAGACTCAAAAGTCTTTCAAGACAGCAGCCTGGTTTACCGGAGAAATAAACCATAGCTTTTCTCGTGAAACCGCCAATCAGCGYCAATTATACTCTGACATATAGTTGCCTTCGTATTCATTTTAGTTGTTTCCTTTCAAGAGAAACGAAATAGCGCGAATGAAAACGCATGAGAGGGAACCTAATATGCCCATCAGTTGATTGCATATCTGCCAATGAAAATAGTAAAAAATGATTTATTATGACATCATAACTAAGGCAAAACAGCATTWTAGGAGGATATAGATGTACACAAAGGTTTAKTCAACTTGAAGCCCGTGACAATGCATGTTCTCTTGGCTCTMAATACCGGTAAGTTTTCTTCATGTCAGAGCTTACTAATGTTGCTGATCTAGTTACCACAAAGAAATCAACTAAAATGCCAAACACGTTTTGGTACTATTAGATGGCACATAGACTTAAAAACAATAATCATTACAATTCTTAATTATACCTACTCAAGTTTATGATGACGATATTCCCTAGTATATAGTGACTCGTTTGAAATAGTTGCACGCATTTCATTTTCAGTGCATTATATTTAGATTGAGTGGAATAATTGTTTTATTATATATACAAAATCGCTGGATCGTGAGAGAATAAAATTCTTGCCTTGCAAAAAATAAAAAATACTATCAAAGTGATTTTTTTTTTGGCAAAGTAAAATTAACCGTGTGACCGCCGACCACGATCATGTCGGGAAGATATCACTTCGAAAATAAACCTTAGGTTTATTAATAGCGACGGTTGTAATAAAGTGCATTTTTTCATCCAACTAATTTTTTTTCCTCAGTGCTAGTATTGTGTTTGGTGAAAGATCATTGCATAACTGCTACAAGTAAGAATTAATTATTAGAGCTGATTAGTTCATCGAAGTATGTATTATAATACAATATGAAATGATTCAGTTTTGGATAATATGGTGTTTGCTTCTTCCAGCTTGTCCAAAGGATGCTTTTAAAGAAGGGGCTACTCTCAAACCCCGCTGGAAGTACGAGATCCAAAGTCCAGGTTTTCCAAGAAATTACCAGCCCAATCAAACTTGTACTTGGAAAGTATTTTTCCCTCAATATTTGAAAAATGTACACAAAAGTTATCAGATGATGCTGGTGTTCGACGTCATGGAAATAGAGCCTTGTACGTACTGTGGTTGTGATTGGTTGGCGTATTCTTATAGGGAAAGTGATTTACCAACAACCTCTCAGACCTATTACTATTATAAAAAATGCTCATTGTACTCCAAAAATGCCATTGCCACTCTGAAGGAAAGTAGCTACAGCAATATTCGCATATATTCCGATCAAATAAGTTCAAATCAAAAGGAATTTTGGTTACGATTTCGTTCAGATCCTTTTTCAGAATTCAAAGGTTTCAAAGGAAAAATAACAGTAGTAAACAGAATGGCATCTAGTTCACGTTGTTGGAATACCAAAAACATCATCAACGAAACAAGCGGAAGCATTTCCAGCCCCAAGTACCCATCAAAATACATTCCAGGTCAGTGTATAATGTGGCGCCTCATTGTTCCCWATGGATTTCGCGTCAAACTCACCTTTAAAGCTTTTGAGCTAGAAAATGACAACTACTGCCTCAACGACTATGTGGAAATAAGAGATTGGCAGCCCGCGGGGTGGAACGGTGAGTTACTTGGTCGGTTCTGTGGTAGTATCATTCCAGAAAAGCCGATCTTCTCCTTATCCAATGAGATGGCTGTATTGTTCGTGAGTGATKATAACGCACAAACCGTGCACAVKGGCTTCAATGCGCACTTTGAGATGGATGGTGACCATCGCTCCAATACGCTGTCCCATGCAGGTAACTTCTCGTTTGTATATATCAAATAAGGATAAGTTATTTCTTGCAATATGTTTTATATTCTTTAAGTGACTCTGACGCCTGACACAATTAATGATGATTTTCTGTGAACTTTGACGTTATTTTCATTAACATATTGTAAGATTGAACTTCATAACTCGAAGACGCAACACTGAAATGCAGGGATATTTCACCATTCAATTATTTACTTTATATAGAATCAGCTCACAGAGAATCAGCAATTATTGTGTCATACGTCACTTTAACATATTTTGTTTTTACCAAGTTTCAGGGGATATTCAACTGGAGCCATTCTTCACACATTCTGCTTTAGTGATGGTGGTTGTCATCATGAAGAAACTCTTGTAAGATGTTTCAGTGTTCTATGGACTCTATAGTTGATAGTAATGTTAATTATAGATAAATTATGCAGCAATAAAATACAATGCTTTAAAAATTATTAGTTTAGATAGAAGGAAGGCAATTGATGTCATTAAATTGATGAGATAAGAAATCACTGCTTTTATTAATAAATATATGACAGAACACAGATATCCTGTATTAAAGGCAAGAGAATCTNGCATCTAGTTCACGTTGTTGGAATACCAAAAACATCATCAACGAAACAAGCGGAAGCATTTCCAGCCCCAAGTACCCATCAAAATACATTCCAGGTCAGTGTATAATGTGGCGCCTCATTGTTCCCTATGGATTTCGCGTCAAACTCACCTTTAAAGCTTTTGAGCTAGAAAATGACAACTACTGCCTCAACGACTATGTGGAAATAAGAGATTGGCAGCCCGCGGGGTGGAACGGTGAGTTACTTGGTCGGTTCTGTGGTAGTATCATTCCAGAAAAGCCGATCTTCTCCTTATCCAATGAGATGGCTGTATTGTTCGTGAGTGATGATAACGCACAAACCGTGCACACGGGCTTCAATGCGCACTTTGAGATGGATGGTGACCATCGCTCCAATACGCTGTCCCATGCAGGTAACTTCTCGTTTGTATATATCAAATAAGGATAAGTTATTTCTTGCAATATGTTTTATATTCTTTAAGTGACTCTGACGCCTGACACAATTAATGATGATTTTCTGTGAACTTTGACGTTATTTTCATTAACATATTGTAAGATTGAACTTCATAACTCGAAGACGCAACACTGAAATGCAGGGATATTTCACCATTCAATTATTTACTTTATATAGAATCAGCTCACAGAGAATCAGCAATTATTGTGTCATACGTCACTTTAACATATTTTGTTTTTACCAAGTTTCAGGGGATATTCAACTGGAGCCATTCTTCACACATTCTGCTTTAGTGATGGTGGTTGTCATCATGAAGAAACTCTTGTAAGATGTTTCAGTGTTCTATGGACTCTATAGTTGATAGTAATGTTAATTATAGATAAATTATGCAGCAATAAAATACAATGCTTTAAAAATTATTAGTTTAGATAGAAGGAAGGCAATTGATGTCATTAAATTGATGAGATAAGAAATCACTGCTTTTATTAATAAATATATGACAGAACACAGATATCCTGTATTAAAGGCAAGAGAATCTTCTTAGTTCCTGGGATCTATATGAAATTTAAATTCACCAAAAGTCCGAAAATACCATCAAATATACATGCCAAAATTGGTATCAACRCAAATCTGCTTCTTCGTACTTCGCGGGAAACGTCGAATCGAGGCGACCGGACAATCATAAAGCATTCTGGGAGGCTTTCAAAACTACTTTCTACGAACCCCTTCGAGAAATATAGATTAGTTACCAGTCCCCTAGATGAATGCGCACGTCCAAGATGGCGACGGTGATTCATCGAATGAGCGATTTTTAGTCAGAAAATGTCAGACGCCTTGTATAGCTTGTAGTTAGCGCATTATGCCAGCTTTACTGAACTTTGCTCGACAATTCTTAACGAAAGTGGTTTACAAACCAGACAGATATTTGCTGGGATTCAACGGAACACAATTAAAGACCTCTAGAACGTTCCACATTTTCCTTCTTAATGATATATTTTACAATTATTCGCCGAGGGCGAAGTGATTATCAATCACAGCAAAAACGTTTTTAGGTCAAACTAGTTGACTAAGCAAAGTCTACAAACACTGCAAGTATCTAGCATTTTCGATCTTTAATGCAGTCAAGATTATCTGGCAATACAAAAAGTTTCACCCCAAACATTGGAAAAAGTGCATTGTAAAAAAAGAGTTTGTTGGATGTTTGGCTGTTTAGCTCGCGCCGGCTTCGTACAACTTGGCGAACTTTTCTTGTAAGCGTCGTTTTGTGTTGATTGGACGTATTTTTCCTGTCTTGCTGAGTTCTTTCAAAACTCGCTCAATGGCCGAGCGAATCGAGGTAAGTGTGGCTTTGTTGTAGAACAGTAGAATTTTAGTAGAAGTAACCGGAAATAAGTTAGACTGAGTGACTGAAATAAGGTAGAATACAAGGTAGGAGTACTTATGGCTCCAGTTACTGCACGTGGTACAAATTTCAGTCAGGGATTGGCTGGATACCTCATGAATAATTAATGAGTATGAAAAGAATATGTTTACTATAGGCAGGGAAACAGGGTGCCCCGCGTCAGGGCCCACAGGAGGAATGATCCCATCACAATAGGTTCGTTGACCCATGTAACGTTGGACCCTGCTGTGTATTCATAGGCAACGTTAAATGCCAATAACTTGGAACCAAAACCGCTACAGCTCTGAAACTTTYGTACTTTTCCTAAAATTTATCTGGACAAATCTTTATGTTGGTATCGTCATCCTTGGCAACCAGTTTTTGACACAGGTTTTCAAAAAAGCAAAATATGCTAAATTTTTAATTTTTAAAGCTTACTTATTGTTTTACTATGTATATAATTTTTACCTATTTGTGCTTGCCCTCATTGCTGACTCTGCAATACCATAATAATTTTTTGACAATAAAAAAAAAAAAAAAATGGTGGAGGGGTAGTTAGTTTTCAGTCATTTTTTCATATGGAAGAAACTTTCATTAAAATCATCAGTAACACTTCGAAACTTCCTTTATTATTCATTAAATGTGAGTTTGAGAAGTATATCATACATTTCTCTCAATGCTTAGTTTTTTTTAATGGCATTTAAAAAAATTCAAGATGGCGGTCCAAGATGGCGGATCCTAAGATGACGGATATTCTTGCCAAAATTGCTTGTTTTAAATTTTTTAACTACAAAGACTCCTCAAATTGTAAAGTTTACCATAAAATACCGATGTAGCCAAAAAAAGTGAGATTTGGAGTTAAATTATTCAAAGACGACAAAGACACTATAGGAAATGAAGTCATCACAATTATGACTTCACACTTGTTACCATGGATACAAAACGAACCATAACACTACAGGAGAGCTGTAACACCTAAATATGATATTTAACTGGTTATCTAGATCTAGATATATCATTTATAAAAATTACTATGCACTAGTGTAAACGGGGCTCACCAAAGAAACTACGAATATACAAACTTTATCGATAAAACAATTTACGTTGAATATTAATATTACGGATTCACTACTAGATTTGTATCAACAAGAACCGCGAGTTCACGCAGATATGCGTCTAGTTCCAAATTGTACTAAAGGTGTGATTTCCATACTAAATTGTACGTATCTGTATATTTTAGACTCAATCTTGGTGATTTATGAAGCCCGCTGATCAGTTTTCTTTGATATCTTTAGGACCAAGACGCCTCTTTGGATATCAAACATGGAATACTCGGCCAGTGGTATTAAGGAGGAAATGACAGATGTTTGGTTTTGTTTCAAGCTGACCTTTCACTTACCTGCTGTTTTAGTTGACAACTAGACGATCATAGATCGTTACGTGGGTTTCCTGCAGCTCGGTTGGAATGAGAACTCAAAAAATTGGAGAGTACTGGGACTAGTTGAACCATTTCCGGTCAAATTTATTTTTTTAAACAATTGTATATACTCATAAGGCCGATTTAGACGGCGACAACTTTTGCTTACAACCATCCTTACGACATGGCTACAACTGTCGTAGGGATTTAAAACAATTGCTTAATATTAACCCTACGACAGTTGTAGCTATGTTGTAAGGATGACTTACGCAGGTTGCATGCGATGGTTGTAGACAAAGGTTGTGCCGTCTAAATCGGCCTATAGACTGACTTAAGTTCGTATCCATACAATAACACGATGAACTTGTGAAGACTTAGGTGCGTTTTTAAGTACACGATTCAGGTTTCTGTTCTTCTTAAGGAAACTACGTAATACCTTGACTGGTATTTGCTTGGTTCTTGGTCGCGTTTATTAGCATGGCACACACACAACGCTGGCTATCTTTTAGTGTGTACCTACCACGAACGTCGTGCGCGTTTGTATTGAGATCAGTGTCCAAAAGTTATTTTTCTTTGTCAGCTTTCTCAGTGGTCACAGACCAGGTCACAAATTGAAATCGGAGATATCGCGACAAGCCACGAGGCCGACTGATAGAAACAATAATAGATAAATAATAATTTATTGATTTAGTCTATATTGTGCAGTTTCGATGTGAATTATCAAATGCGCATTACAATAAAATATCATTCCCAGAAATTCGATACATGGCGCGACGCATGCGCATTAATTATCTGGTCGGCTAATCCACGGCATTTTAATGAGCAATAAAATACAAAGAAATGTATGTAATACTTTATTCATCTTCAAATATTTCTGTTATTTTTGACGTTCGAATTTTCCCACAAATCGTATTTTGAAGTTTGATGTATTGTCTTTGATATGGCGATATAAAATAAGCCGTTTCGAAGTCCTAAACCGGTTCCAAAATCAATTGAAAATACTCACCAAAATAGCCGTCAGCCGCCATACTTTCCTTGTAAAAACACCATAAAACACTTGACATCCGGTTGTTGAGGTCCTCATAAACATGTCTTAACTACCAGATTTCTCATCCCCACAAATCTTATTCGTTAGAACACATACTAAGCTACATTTCTGTGCCAAAAAATAATAAAAACACTTGACCTAAACCGGTTCCATTTTCCTTCGAAGAACTGCCATTCTTTGACCTCTCGGATTGTGGAATGCGAAGGTCCAAGTCGATTTTTTTGAGCAGAAACAAGAGATTTCGTACTTCTACATGATCTAGCACGCCATTTGTTTCTGTTTATACCTTAGTAACCTCCCATGTCTCTTCATGTAGCAAAATAGGCATTTTCTAGCAAAATAAGCATTTCGGGTTTCCTGTGTGAAAGATTTTGGCGGGGATATCGAAATGTGATGGATGCACCCACCCCCCCACGGGAAAAGTCCCAAGAGCCTTTGCGGCAGTTGTAATCCCATGTGCTTGACAAGTAAATATGTTGATATGGGTTTTGAAGCGCCTTTGATGACTTAAAATTGTCCATATTGGGCAACAAACTTGGGGGCTCAGACGGGAAAATTTATTAGAGGGTTTGTGGATCGTCTTGTGACTGTTAACCGAGTTTGAAGCGAGAAAATGGCTGAAGAATTCCACATCCAACTGATGACTGAGTTGTACAAGGCCGACGTTAACAACGTGAAGAAAGTCGCTGAAAAATTGAAAATAACTGATATTGAATCGAAATCCAAGTTCTACATAATTAATCGAATCGCAGAAGAGTTGCAGAAGCAATTATTGACCGTTGAAGATGAGGAAAAATCGCTTTTTCTGCATGATTTCATCGAACTTATTGTTGACATTCCACCACCGTTGGAACAACCTAAAGTCAAATCCGAAGCTGGTAAAGAAGAGAAAATAAAGCAGGAATACATGGAGAAGGATTCTTTAGAGAAACTGGTCGATACAACGAGTGTTCTCCGCAGGCAATTCAAGATTCTTGGTCAAAAAAGGGATTGGAGTCAGCATAAAGATGTTTGTAAGACAATAAGACAGTTGTCAACACCAGAAACCATTAAGGAGACTCTGTTTGCTAGTCACCTACATCCAAAACAACAAGATAGAATAATTGGCCTTGTAGGTGAAGAGTGCAATGTAAAGTGTTTTCTAAATGACACAGAGTTTATTGTCTTATGGGACACAGGTGCTCAAGTGTCAATATTAACAAACAGTACCCTGAAAGAACATTTCCCACAAGTGAAAGTAAGAAGTGTATCAGAACTGTTAAACATAGAACTAGACTTGACCGCAGTTAACGGAACAAAGCTTMCATTCATCGGCTGGGCAGAAGTCAGAGTTAGGCTTCCATCGGCGCCCGGCAAAGCTAAGGAAATTCATGTACCCTTTTTGATTACAGAAGAACCCTTAAAGAAGCCCATCTTAGGTTATAATGTTATCGAGGAACTAACTCGTATTGACTTTAGCTTTACACCTACTGACATTGTTGA